TCAAAATATTTATTAATCTTTGCATAGTTCTAAGCACAGTTGTACTGTTGTAGACATTAGGGTCACAAAAGTAAATAGAATAGATAGTTTTTAGTGAGGAATAATAACTAATAATAAACATGATAAATATGTAAATTATAAGTATAGTAAAGGTCATAAGTGCTACAGTCAAACACAAAATAAAGCAGGGTAAGGGAAATGCCAATGGAATATTGTATGGGGCAATGGTTCTGACATGCTGGCCCCCACTCATTTAAAAAAATGACTTTTACCCTGGCTAATTCACATGCTGTGAATTAGAGTGTGTGAGCTATAGCTGATCCTTCACTGTGGCCCAAACGAAAAATTAAATGACTCAAAATTTGGAGGCCGCATTGACCAGCACATTTGGCTAGTCATGTGGGGTCTGCACAATAGTGAAAGTGCACATCCTTGTATCTGGGTTGACCCTTGAGTGCAAGAGTCAATTATCAGTTTTGAAAGAAGGCACTTGGTTAGCTGAGGTTGGATGAACCAATGCACAAGGCATTATGTTTTATTAAGCTCATATCAATATTTGCTATTTGTAATTGCTTTTGTTGTTCCTACCCTCCCTTCCTTTCTAATACCCAAGTATTGAAAAGTTAGTAAAGTCATTATTCTGAGCCAATATCCAGGTGATTAAACTATGTCAAAGTAGGAGAGAAAGAAATCACAGCGAGCACACAGTGCAGACCTGGCTTCACCAAGGCGAAGGTGCCGGTGTAAGGACTTGCAGATACACATCTCATGCACCTGCCACAAATCACAAGATGTAGCACTGTCCTCCTTAAAAGATCTGTCAGCTTACTCAGGGGGCCATCCTCCCTATGATGGCTTTTAGCCAATTATCTTAATTTAGAAAAAAATCAAAAACAATACTCTCTATTTGGAAAACCTTCTGAGGTTTTCTTCTCTTATAAACTTGGCTCTACATTTGTTGTGACAAACTTTATAAGCACTGTTGTGCTGGCTGATACTGGCTCTTGAGAGATTATTTATTAGACACTCAGAAACTTTACCAGCCAGTTGTAAAACCATGATAACTTGAAAAGAGCAATGGTGAAAGAATTCAAACCTCACTAATTGGCAAATGTTAAAAATCAAGACTTTTATTCTGGAGAGTTTTTACCAGCATAACACTATCACAAGCTGCACCTTCCTCAGTGAGGCAATCATGCAAATGTGCGTGTCAGACATGCAACTGCCAGGAGCCTAATGGATTCTTGGCTTCAGATGCTGTGCTCTGAAATCTATCACTGCTTTTTCCCCAAGATCAGTCTTCCCAAGTGCAGCTGACAATTGACCATGACAGGCATGCTAGGCCCCTTCCTGAAAGTGCAGATTTTCTCTGACAGCTGACTTTGAATCCAGGATTCCATGACGTCCTTACAGAACTTTCTTTTGTACGACACTGCCGTCCAAAAAACCTCCACTCGATCTACTTTTACTCCTTCCCTCTGGGGTCAGACCTGCATCATGGTCTGATGACTCACTCTCCCAGCCCTCTCCAGCTCCCTTTTCATTTTTTCTCAATGCATTTACCTAATCAACATCTTGCATATGCAATCCTATCTTGACATCTCCTTCTCAGAGGATTCAGACTAACACACATAGGATACAAGCACATCTTAGCTGCACCCTCACTTACTCTCTCTGAATTATGACACTGCCCTGGAGTTCACCATCCCCAATGAGGTCTTCTACGCACGGTCACCCTCAACCCTATCCCCTAGGTCCATATTCTGTGATGAGCCCTTTTCCCTTTCACCCGTGTTCTATTCTTCTACACACTTCTTCACAGAACGTTTAAGATTTTGATTGAAGTGTAACATACACACTGAAAAGTGCACATTTTTAGCTCACTGAGTTTGAACACACTGAACTAACTCTCAGATCAAGAAACAGAACTTCGCCAGTGCCCCAGAATCCTCGTTCATGTTTCTTTCTAATCACACCCTGTGTCCCAAGGCTTGCCATAATTCTGACTTGTAAAGGCACACATTGCTTTTAGCCTATTTTTCTTCTTTTTATAAGTGAAATCATATAGTATGTAGGTTTTTGTGCCTGGCTTTTTAAACTCAATAATATGTTCAGGAGTTTATTCTATATTTTGTGTATAATTATAGTTTATAGTCAATACTGCAATCCTGTAGAATATATCATAACTAATGTATGTATTCTATTGTTGATAGAATTTCCAGTAATTTCCAATTTAACACTGCTACAAGTAGCATTGCTGTGAAAATTTTATTAGATGTCTTTTTAGAAATACATGTGCACATTTCTATCAGGGTTACCTAAGAAAGGACTAACTGAGTCATAAGTAATGTGTAAGGCAGCTTTAGTAGATGCTGCCAGTTTTCCAGAACGAACCATTTATACCTCCATCAACACAGTTTTAGAAGTCCAGTTGCTACACATTCTTACACATACTTGGAATTCTGTCTTTTTATTTTACCCATTCTGATAGGGGTGTTCATTCTTAATCAGCAGTTGTGTTGCTGCATAGATGGATCTCTGCTTTTTAACCATCATATCACAAAGAATGCTTGTTATTGATTCTTAGTCTACTCCTTTATTAAGTTCCACTAACCCTTTGAATCAGAAACATTGTTTAGTTCTGTGTTTTTCTGGTATGAGTAGAGCAATAGTTGCCTTCCATTCTTCCAATTCTTTCCAGTCATTAATGCATAAGATCATTACTTACTGCTCTGACTGGTGTGGCTCAGTGGATTGGGCATTGTCCTGTAAGGCAAAAAGTTGTTGGTTCGATACCTGATCAGGGCACATGCCTGGGTTGTGAGCCAGATCCCTCCTTGGAAACATGTGAGAGGCAACCAATGGATGTTTCTCTTGCATATCAATGTTTTTCTTTCTTCCTCCCTCCTTCTCCTCTCTCTAGAAATAACTAAATATAATCATTTTGAAAAAGATGGCTACTTACTAAAGTAGTACTCTAGACATGGAACAGTGATACAGAGTTTAGCAACTACAGCACACTGTATGTGTTCTATAGAAATGATCTGCTAGGACGAGTCCTTGTACTTATTCCATAACTACCACACATGGGGTGGAAGAAATGCCTTATTTTTCCTGCTCTTTTGCCCTGAAGCTTACCAAAACAAGAGGTCCATCCAAGTGATTCCCAATTCTGTTGACTTCGCAACAAGCACATGAGATTTTTGCTGTCCCAGAGAGTAGAATTTAGTCCTGCATACAATAAATGCACCCAGTTTTTGTTTCCAAAAGGACTCAAATTTATTTTATTAAAATAAATCAGATATTAAGCCCTGGCTGGTGTAGCTCAGTGGATTGAGCGCAGGCTGGGAACCAAAGTGTCCCAGGTTCGATTCCCAGCCAGGGTACATGCCTGGGTTGCAGGCCATAACCCCCAGCAACCGCACATTGATGTTTCTCTCTCTCTCTCTCTCTCTCTCTCTCTCTCTCTCTCTCTCTCTCTATCTCCCTCCCTTCCCTCTCTAAAAATAAATAAATAAAATCTTTAAAAAATAAAATAAATCAGATATTAATAAAACTTTTACTTCAAAACAAATATTATCATCCCTAGTGTTTGAATTTGTCTCCACAACTGAAAGGCTCTCAGAAATAGGTTTCTGAAATCTCTTGTTTTCCTAGTTCTGCTTTTTCTTTTTTCTAAAGATTTTATTTATGTAAAAAAAATTATTTATTTATTTTTTAGAGAGCAGAAGGGAGGGGGAAAGAGAGGGACAGAAACACCAATGTTTGATTGCTTCCCATGAGCCCCCTACTGGGGACCTGGCTTGCAACCCAGGCATGTACCCTAGACTGGGAATCAAACTGGCGACCCTTGATTTGTAGGCTGCCACTCAATCCACTGAGCCACACCAGCCAGGGCAAAGTTCTGCTTTCTTTTAACATCCAAGTGATCCCTAATTCTATATGCCTTGGTTTTAGACTTACAAATACAGAGGCTACATTTTGGCCAGAGCTAGCAAAAAAGAATACCAAAAAAACAATAATAATAAAGGAAGTGTAGGTGTTCCTCGTGGTTATATAACTTGTTTTCAAGACCCAAGGTAATAATGTATACTAATAATTAAATTATTTCAGACTAAGTCATACTCATCTTCTGATATGTTTTTACCCAGAATCACAATGTCACTGTAATAAATGCAGGCTACATGCTTGGAGAGGATTTTTATAATCTTACAGTAAGAAGTATTTTACCAGGCTAGCACATGTCACTTTTCCCAAGAAGGAGACAAGTGATTTGTAAATTGCATAGCTCCATTTGTTCAGATTGTCTTCCCAAGAACAAATGATTAGGTGATGACTAACAACCTTTCCAACTCTGCACTATCATAATGCAATGCTGGACAAAAATCCCCAGCTGATGCAAACATATGTTTTATTGATTTTATGTATTTTATAGTCCTTATATTTGACAGATTTTAGTTTCTTTTAAAGAAAAGAGACATTAGTCCCTGGCTGGTGTAGCTCAGTGGATTGAGTGCGGGCTGAGAACCAAAGTGTCGCAGGTTTGATTCCCAGTCAGGCCACATACCTGGGTTGCAGGCCATGACCCCCAGCAACCGCACATTGATGTTTCTCTCTCTCTTTCTCCCTCCCTTCACTCTCTAAAAATAAATAAATAAAATCTTTTTTTTTAAAGAAAAGAGACTTTAGTACTTAACAATCACAGAGTAAGAAATTCAAATTCTTTTTAAAAATAACATTTAAAGTCCTAATAAAAAGGGTCAACATTTTTTTAAAGTCATGTAGTGAGACAGAGTATCAATAGATAATATCAGCCATCACAACTGACACAATAAAAATAAGGGAAAAATAGGATCTTGACTTGTGTACTATATTAGTGTTTTTAGTAGTTACAGCAATAAAAATCCATTGTAGTAAATTTTAATAATTTTCCATAGTTAATAATTATAGTTGTTCAGTATAATTATGCTGTAGTTAAATTAAATATTAATTTCTTTTAGTTGATAAAATCCAATATCCTCAGACAATGGAGAAAAGGGAAGAAGAGAGGTAAGAGAAATATATAATAAAAACAAGCTATTTTGTTTAACCAAGTTCCCCATAACAAGTAAAATTGTAATTGTTTATGAAAATACTGTAATGGGCAAATAGGGGGAAAGGTGAGTTTTCCAAAGGGTGCAAAATGTTAGTAGACTATTTTGTGTGAAAAAAAATGGAAAAACTTGAGATGACAGGGAAAGTCAAAGAGTATGGGAGATGAATCAGTGAGGTTTAAAAGACCTTATGGTTTTCAATGGGCCTCTTTCCTCCCCAACTATGACAAATTTGACAAATTTCTAAATGCACCCACAGTCTGGAATTAGTTAGTAATTTGATTATCATTTTGAATTTGTACTAGGATTATCCCAGAGGACTGAGTAGTTCTGAAATCTCACAGGATTTGAACAGATTTCGGACTCTGACAAAGCCTTTGGCATGGTACTTAGGTGAACCAGATCCCCAGGAGCAAGAAGGTTCCAGCTAATTAAATTATAAAGATAATGGCTACCCTGGCTGGCGTAGCTCAGTGGATTGAGCGCGGGCTGGGAACCAAGTGTCCCAGGTTTGATTCCCAGCCAGGGTACATGCCTGGGTTGCAGGCCATAACCCCCAGCAACCGCACATTGATGTTTCTCTCTCTCTCTCTCTCTATCTCCCTCCCTTCCCTCTCTAAAAATAAATAAATAAAATCTAAAACAAAAATTAAAAAAAAAAGATAATGGCTATAGTACTAAAACCTTACTCAGAAATGAAAGTTATCAATGAGGACTCAGAGTAGTATAATCTGGGCCAACATGTAGGGGATATAGCACATTTGACTGTACCTATGTCAAATAATAGTGCCTATGACTACATTATTTTCTACCCAATACTTCTAAAGAAAAGGAACTGAAGCTTACCACTCATATCTGTTACCTGAAGGTCTCCACCACAGAGAGTAGATGTTTGATAATGAATTCTTATGAAAGAGATTTGAGTGAGCCTGACAAGATCTTGTGATATAATGAAGGATTGGCCTTGGCACCAGAAGAAGTCCAAATCTTGGCTTAAGATAACCTTAAGCAACTTCTTAAATTTTATGAATTTTAGTCTTATCAATTGCAAAATAAGATAATGTTATCTGTCTCAAAGCAGTACAGTAAAATGAAACAATAAAAAAGTACCAGTTAAATAACAGGCATGGAATTCAATGTGTGTGTGTGTGTGTGTAATGTATATATTTTATTGTTATACCTTCAAAGGTTGTAAGCCCTTTAATTAAAATTTTGTAAGGTAAGTGATACCTTACATTTAGAAAAGTCCTTTTGCTTAATTTTGTATGGCCCCTGGGCTCCTTTGAAAAGGAATCCCATGAAGCCTTTTTGTAGGGATTTAGTTACAGTATTTAGTATTTTCTATCTGCAGTTTTTAGTGGTAATGTTTTATCTTTGAATGGTGAAATAACTATTAATGCACATAGTTCTTTTCCTATGGAAAGCAAAACATGACTATTAGTATATTTACAAAGAGTATTTACACTGAAACATGTTATTAAAAAGTACCTTTGTCACTAACTCTTTGTAGTAATAGAGGTTTGCATAAAACATCTAGCATTATTTAGTCACCATTGTCACAGAAATTCAGAATTTAGAAATAAGTTACTATTGTTATTAGCAGTATATCCTCTCAGTATCTGTGACCTACTCAAGCTTCTAGATGAATATAGCAAGAGTAGAAACTGGTCAGCATTGCAGAATCTTGAAAAATTATGAAGGTCTCATAATGACTAAACCATGGAGTTAAAAAATGGTACATTGCAAGCCCAACTCAAAACTATAAAGTTTTTTAAATCTTTGTATAGATTACAATATCTTTACATGGTAATATTTTTCTTATACTCTCCTCTACACCATAACAGCATATATCCAATGATTACTGGCAGGGGAAATTCAGGAGGGAGAGAGAGAGGATAGTCTTCTCAGGGAGCTCATTCATCAACTGTATATTTTTCTTGTGAGTTCTTGGCTCTTGAATTATTATAAAACCCATGAGCTAGTACCCATGAGCAAGAGAATGATCTTAGATGGATTCAGGAACTCTTTGCATTTTGGTTCTCAAGATTTTTTGCTTCCCCATAAAGAAAGGTTTTCCTTAAAGTCTGGATCATAATAACATATGAATTCTTTAGATAAAATTGAGATAAAATTTAATATTACAGAAGCTTTAACACATATGATACCAAAAGCACTGGCAACAACAACAACAAAAATGAGTGAATTGGATTTCATCAAAATTAAACATTTTTGTGCATCAAAGGACTATCAATAGAGTAAAAAGGCAACACATTGAATAAGAGAAAATATTTTCAAATGATATATTTGATAAGGGATTAAATCTAAAATATGTAAAGAACAGTCACAACTCAACAACAAGGAAACAACAAAAAATGAGGAAAGGACTTCATACAGGTGTTTCTCCAAGATATACACATGAATTGCCGATAAGATATTTGAATTGCCAATAAGATATACACATGAATTGCCGATATGATAGGAAGGAAAGAAGCAAGGAAGGAAGGAAGGAAAAGAAAGAAAGAGAGAAAGAGGAAGAGAGAAAGGACAGAAGAGAGAAAAGAAAGAAGAAGGAAAGAAAAGTGTTGGTGAGAATGCAAAGAAATTTGAAATACTGTATATTGCTGGTGGAAATACAAAGTGGTTCAGCTGCTGAGGAAAATAGTATTGTGTTTCCTCAAAAATTAAAACTGCACTATAATCTAGCAATTCCACCTCTGGGTATACACCAAAAATAACTGAAAGCAGGGACTTGAACAGATATTTGTTCACCAACATTCATAACATTATTCATAATTTACATTCATAGAATTATTCACATTAGTCAAAACAGGATGTCCATCATGGATAAATGGTTAAATGAAGTGTGTTATATACATACAATGAAAAATTATTCAGCCTTAAAAAGCTGTAAAATTCTGACATATGGTACAACATGGATGAACCTTGAGGACATAATTATAAGTGAAATAAACCAGTCACAAAAGGACAATTATTATATGATTCAAATTCATAGCTACAGAAAAATAGAAAGGTTGTTGCCAGGAACTGGGAGAACAGAGAGAAATGAGGAGTTATTGTCTAATGGGTATAGAGTTTTAATTTCTGGAGACGTGTAATGTGATGGTTGCACAGCAGTGTGAATATATTCAATGTCATTGAACTGTGAACCTAAAAATTGTTAAAATGGAATATTTTGATAGGTATATTTTATCACAATAAAAAGTAGTTAATACAAAATGCAGGTATAGAAAGATGATAGATAGATAGGTAGATAGATAGATACACAGATAGATGATGGATAGATGATTTTTAGAGTTATATAAAAATCTCCTAACTTGAATAAGAAAGGTAGATACATAGGACAGGCTTGAATTCAGACTTATGTTTCTTAAGTTAGGAATCCAGTATAGTTTATCCAAATTCCATTGACTATTCCTCACTTTTGTCTACTCAACATATAATATTTCTAGGACTTTTGGCCAAGATGGAGGCATAGGTAGACACACTGTGCCTCCTTGCACAACCTGAAAAAGGACAACAACAATTTAAAAACAAAAAACAACCAGAACTGACAGAAAATTGAACTGTATGGAAGTATGACAACCAAGGAGTTAAACAAGACACACTCATCCAGGCCAGTAGGAGGGGCAGAGTCGGGCAGCTGGGCAGAGAGGACTCTCGACAAAGCGGTGGTTGACAGACCTACCACAGAGGCAGTGGATTATGGAGGGGTGTAACATGCAAGGCAGCTGGTGGACCAGGTGGTCCCACATTCATGTGCAGATAAACCAGGTGAAACTAGGGAGTGGGACAGACCACACAACCCAGGGTCCCAGTGCAGAGAAATAAAGCCTCAAAACACTGATTGAAAACACCTGTGGGGGTTGAGGTGCTGGGAGAGACTCCCAGCCTCACAGGAGAGTTCGTTGGAGAGACTCACAGGGTCCCAGGATGTACACAAGCTCACCCACTTGGGAATCAGCACCAGAAGGGCCCAATTTTCTTGTGGGAATCGGGGGAAGTGAATGAAATCCAGCAGAGAGCAGAGCAAGTGACATTGTTCCCTCTCAGACCCCTGCCCCACATACAGCATCACAAACCAGCAACTGGGTTGCCCCACCCTGGTGAACACCTAAGGCTCTGCTCCTTGTACATAACAGGCTCATCAAGACAAAAAAAAATGGCCCAAATGAAAGAACAGATCAAAGCTCCAGAAAAAATACAACTAAGGAACAAAGAGGTAGACAACCTACCATGTGCATAGTTCAAAACACTGGTAATCAGGATGCTCACAGAATTGGTTGATTTTGGTCACAAATTAGATGAAAAATGAAGGCTACACTAAATGAAATAAAGGAAAATGTACAGGGAACCAACAGTTATAGGAAGGAAACTGGGACTCAAATCAACGGTGTAGACCAGAAGAAAGAAAGAAACATCCAATCAGAAAAGAATGAAGAAATAGGAATTCAGAAAAATGAGGAGAGGCTTAGGAATCTTCAGAATATCTTTAAACGTTCCAACATCCAAATCATAGGAGTGCCAGAAGGAAAAGAGGAAGAGCAACAAGTGGAAAAGTTATTTGAACAAATAACAAAGGAGAACTTCCCCAATCTGGCAAAAGGAAATAGACTTCCAGGAAGTCTAGGAAGCTCAGAGAGTCCCAAAGAAGTTGGACCCAAGGGGGAACTCATCAAGGCACATCATAATTACATTAGCCAAGGTAAAAATGAAGGAGAGAATTCTAGAAGCAACAAGAGATAAGGAGACAGTAACCTACAAAGGAGTTCCCATCAGGCTGTCAGCTGATTGCTCAAAAGAGACCTGACAGGCAAGAAGGGGCTGGAAAGAAGTATTCCAAGTAATGAAAGGAAAGGACTTACTTCCAAGATTACTCAATCCAGCAAAGTTATCATTTAGAATGGAAGGGAAGATAAAGTGCTTCTCAGATAAGGT